CCCAGGAGTTCAAGGCCAGCCTTGGCAATATAGTGAGACCCCATCTCCCCAAATTTTTTTTAAAAAATTAGCTGGGTGTGGTGGTGCGTGCCTGTGGTCCCAGCTACTCAGAAGGCTAATCCTGGAGGATGGCTTGAGTCTGGGAGGTCAAGGCTGCAGTGAACCATGATTGTGCCACTACACTCTAGCCTGGGCAATAGAGCAACACCCCATCTCAAGAAAATAAATAAAACTTAAAATAGTTTAGACTACAAGTGATGGATTTGGAAAATAAGGGAATTTTTTTTCCCCTAAGCTTCTGATTCTCTGGTTGAAAAACAGGGGAATCTTGTATGGTACAATTCCTTAATAAATTTTGATTGGATATCTGAGACATTTCAGTAGAAATGGTTCAGCATCTGTTCACATTAAAATCACTTAATATTGGCATTATGGTGTCTAAAATACAACTTAATAATAAAACCACAACCATTGAAGTCCTGTCCACTATGATTTAAATGTAAGAAATCTATGTTAACACTTGTAGCTTCACCAGTTCTTCGAGTTGGGCACAGAAATCCTTGGCTTGAGCTACATAGGTACTTGGCTCAAGCCAAGAATCTGGGGCTGGATAATGGTGTGAAGATTTTCTTTCCTTAGTTTTAAAGGGCAGTCTTCTTTTGGGGAGACTCAGGTGGCTAGCAGGGAGTGCAATTCAATTAGCCAAACACAGTTATTGGAGCTAACTAGGAGACAGTAATAACCAGCTGCAGGCTTCAGCATATATGAAGCCCTGTGTATGACAGGCATGGCCCTGCCCACGCCTGCCATCTATGGGTGTCTCTCTCTGAGAGGGAGACAAGGGGAACATGGTGTCTCTGATGAACACCTGTATACATGGGAGACCTGACAAAAAAATCTCCTTCCAATAATTTTTATTATTCCAGTCTTAATCCATAGAAGATAATAGCTCTGGTTTTGTTTATTCTAAATGAACCTGCTTAATAGAAAACATTAAGAATCTCTCTTATACTCATTTCTGATTATCCTGAACAAAAATATATACTCTGGCTGGGCGCAGTAGCTCACATCTGTAATCCCAGCACTTTGGGAGGCTGAGGCGGACGGATCACGAGGTCAGGAGTTCGAGACAAGCCTGGCCAACATAGTGAAACCGTGTCTGCACTAAAAATACAAAAATACCAGGCATGGCGGCATGTGCCTGCAGTCCCAGCTACTCCGGAGGCTGAGACAGGAGAATTGTGTGAACCCGGGAGGTGGAGTGCAGTGAGCTGAGATTGCAACACTGCACTCCAGCCTGGGCGACAGAGCGAGACTCCGTCTCAAAAGAAAAAAAAAAAAAAAGTACTCTGTGTGTGTGTGTGTGTGTGTGTGTGTCTGTGTCTGTGTTGGGGGTGAGTGTATATCCTGCAAGGATATACATCTATTTAACATATAGAATTAGAGAATTAACTGAACCTGTGGGATGGAGACATAGATAACATTGAAAAGCCATGGAAGAATCCTAATAACTTAGTTTTAGTCATTAGTTATGTCTCTTCCTTTAAAATCGATTATATAATGCAGCTAACTACCAGTAACGTCTCCCTGAGTGGGCAAGGAGAATTAAAATATCAAACCGTAATTGGGGAGAAACCCAGCATAGGTGAAGTGAGAGAATTGTTCTATTTTAGAGTCAAGTTTTCCCTTCAATAGCAGGTTTTAATCACTTCCATGATCACCCTACCGTTTTGTTTTAACCACGTTTTTGTGGTCTTTTAAACACATATTCGAAAGGAAACAAATGTCATTCCATTTTATTATTTAGTGCTTTCTTTGGACTGTAATGAATTAGAACACGGAATACAATAAAACAGGTCTCGTACGTGACTTAAAATCTAATATGATGATAACAATTATTTTCCCTTGGACACTAAACTTAAATGGAGAGTCAAGACTTTTCTGTCTAGAAACTTTCTAGCCTTAACACATAATTACAAATATGATGGTCTTACAGCCATGCAGTTATCTATTAAAATTCATGGAAGGTACTATATAGAAAACAAATGGGCATTTCTTTTTTGAGTCTTCTAAATTCTGTTCATAACAAGTGAATGGCTAAGTAAGGATGTAATTTCTTTTTTTTGTTTGTGTGTTTTGTTGTTGTTGTTAGAGATGGAGTCTTGCCCTGTCATCTAGGCTGGAGTGCAGTGGCGCCATCTTGGCTCACTGCAGCCTCCACCTACCAGGTTCAAGCGATTCTTCTGCCTCAGCCTCCCAAGTAGCTAGGATTACAGGCGTGTGCCACCACACCCAGCTAATTCTTGTATTTTTATTAGAGATGAGTTTCACCATGTTGGCCAGGCTGGTTTCAAACACCTGATCTCAACTGATCCGCCCACCTTAGCCTCCCAAAGTGCTGGGATTACAGGCGTGAGCCACCGCGCCCAGCCAGGATGTAATTTCTAATACACATTATTTCTTCTGTATATTGATGCTTCATAGGAGGTGCTTGAAATAATTCTGCCAAAAGATAAGATCAATAAAATTTCAACCCTTCTAATTGGGAAGGCTGTCAGTACTAACAAAACTACACTGATAGACAGACAGTAAGTGATGGATTTAGATCCACACAATCAGGAGAAACACACTTTATCTTTTTATTATGAAATATATGGAGCATACAGAAATGTAGAGGATATAATAAAGACATGTGTACCCACCACTAAGCAGTGCCAGATCTTAAGGTATTGCTATATTTGTTTTAACTCTTAATTTTTTTACAAACACAACTTTCCAGGTTTCAGCAAAGTCCCCTTCCCTGACCCCATCCACCTCTTTCAGAGGTAATCACCACTAAACTTGGTATTCATCATCTCTATGCCTGTTCTATACTTTTAGTTTACCTGTGTCTACATACATGACAGCCCTGATTATTTTGCATGTTGAAATTTTTATATAGTTTATGAACGCTCAAGTTCTATGAAATATTCCCTTAAAGTCTGGGGGAAAATCAAAATAACCACAGGGATCATTTTAGGACTATGGGTGACTTTCTCCTTTCTAACCTTTCATTTTACAATTTTTATAAGAGGAGTAACATTCTCATTTCCAAGCAAACAGTTTTATCAAAGAAATAAAGTGGACAGGCGGGCACAGTGGCATCACACCTGTCATCCCAGCACTTTGGAAGGCCAAGGGGGGTGGATCGCGAGGTCAGGAGTTCAAGACCCATCTGGCCAATATGGTGAGACCCCCGTCTCTACCAAAAATACAAAAATTAGCTGGGCGTGGTGGCACGTACCTGTAGTCCCAGCTACTCGGGAGGCTTGCGGCAGGAGAATTGCTTGAACCTTGGAGGCGGAGGTTATGGTGAGCCCAGATCATGCCACTGCACTCCAGCCTGGGCAAGAGTGGGACTCCGTTTCAAAAAAAAAAAAAAAAGTGTATATATCCACACACACACACACATATACATACACACACACACACACGTATGTATAGTGAAATTTTTTCCCACCCCTTTCTCCCAAGTGCCTAATTATCACCCCTTTCTGTCCCAGTGGATGAGCACTATTAACAGCTTTTCTGTCCTTCCGGCATAGGCAAACATTCTAGTTTCTCTGTCTCTCTCTCTCTCTCTAATAGAAGGGCAGTACAGTTACATGCTACTCCGCACCTTGCTTTTTCACTTACCCTGAATACCATATCTTTCTAGAGAGTATCCTCATCCTTTTCTAAAGCTACACATTTTCTCTGTATGGCTGTACCAGAATTTATTTAACAAGCTTCTCTTTGATGGATATTTTGGTGATTAAATGATTTGATATTTATGAAATCCACTTGTAAACTAGTCATACAATAATAAGAAATCTATGAGATAGATATTATCAAGTTCAATAATAAGGAATAAAAGAAACTACTTAATTTTAATACTAAACAGGAAAATTGAAAGAGGCCTGAAGCTGCTTTTTAAAATAAAATATTGGCATCCTCTCAACTGTTACGCTGTCAGGTAGAACTAGTTATTTGAAATTGAATGAAAACTGGCAATTAAAGATATTGGCCTAGTTGAGAAACTTGTTTTTAACCTAACTTCTCCTTCTCAGAATATTTATCTTTATGGTCTTCAAATTTAATTTAATGGATCATTTTCATTAAATTTGATGACGGGGCAATCTCAGGAAATACCTGTGAGAGGTTTGTCTACGATACTTGGCACAACGTATATTTAATGATAAGGCCAGAATGAAGATATGTACCTATAAAGTACACACAAAGTAGAAATCAGATTGGTTTACAAAGTCACTCAATTTTCTACTCATTGTTTATTATGTGAACTTATTATTAAAGTTGTTAGGTTGCAAAAGCAAAGGATCAAAGAAACATCATTATTTAAATAGTACTAGATAAAACAAGCTATGAAAGAGTTACAGTTAAAAAAAATTTTGTACTTCTATCTACTATGTTGTAAACACTACAGAGTAAATACTACCTACTCCACTGTCAACGCCATTAGCTTCTGTGCTATCACAGCTTTCATTTGTTGGTTTCTCCAAAAACTTTCATTCTTCACTCCCACATGATACCAGATACCCAAAAGATATCCCAAAGAATTGGGCTTTGGGCATTTCAAAAGAAACATACTAAAAATTCTAAGATATCATTACAGAAGCAGAGATGCATTACTTATTTTACTGATTAGTTGGAGAACAAAGGATTGAGGTGTTGCCTATCAGATTGAGAGAAGAATGGTGGTCAAGGTTAGCCACGCAAAGTCCTACTGGTAATGGCTGCTGACCTTACCAACGTATTTTCTGCAAATGCTGAGATGGGACAGTGTAGTCTGTTCTAACAGAATGATTAAGGTGTTCATCATTACAGAAATTGCTTCTTCGGCTGTTGGTTAACTCTTCAGAGTGTGCCCTATCAAGTGCTAACAGCCAAGTTTCACATTTCCTGAAACATCTTTCTTAATTTAACTTTCATCTAAGTTCTAGTCTGTAAATGAGAAGTGCAAGTAAGAACGAGGGGTCAATTTATTTTAAGTAAATTTGTCATTAAATATCAATGTGTACAATTTCAAACATTTATAAATCTACAATTTATAGAAAAATTAATGTAATCTTAAAATTATTTGAACAGTGGTTTTCACAATTATTTACAATGAACTCAACCTACTTTTGTAGAAACATTGTTTAAAAGTACCCCTGCCACAAAGTGATCATTTCACAGTACCTCTCTATAATATTTATGTCACTTAAGTGGTGGCTGCATCAATGAAACCTAGCAGATTCAATAATTTAGAAACAGTACAATCAGAACAGTAAATAAAGCTACCATCAATTCCAAACAAAACAGAACCTTTTATAGTAAGATATAAATGTTTTCCCATTCAGCACTAATTGAAAAAAATAATTAGGAGGCAATCTTTTCTTCACTGTTTACTACAAAACTAAATAATTTTAAGATTTTTTAAAAATTGACATTAAGAAGCTAGATTAGGTAACTTCTTATGTGACATTAAATATTTTGAGAAATTCTTGGTTTCATTGGAAGGCATTTGTAATGATAAACCTTTTTTCAGTTACAATAAGATACTAAGCAGAGATAATTCCGTCATCCCAGATAGCAATTTCTTATTAACAATTGCTAACGTTTGAACTGAAAGAGATTATTGGCTTTATTTCTATATTTTTTTCTACTTAGGTATTTAACTTTTTTTGACATCCTCTTATCCCCTCAATAGGATCCCAAATATGTCTAAAATTAATTCAAAAGAAAAATAACTATTTGAATTATTGCTTGTGTTTGAAAACAATATTTACTGTAGTATTCCACAGTTTCTTATTTTTTTAAGCTAAGACAATTAAATAAAAATGTAAGGGATAAGAAATATAGTTGAAGTCACAATAAAGTATATTTTCTTTTATTGACATAAAACATAAATTTTAAATGTTGGCTCTTTAAGAAAAAAATTCTCCTGGTAAATATTATGCATAACCGTTGCCCAAAAATGTATACAGCTGTTTTCCAACATATTTATATACATAGTGGTTCACTTAAGACCAGCCCTGTTAGAACCTTCTGAATTTAATGTGCTCTTAATTTATAAATGGGCTACCCTCAGTGTATAAAATATATAGGCAGGTATGACAAAGTAAAAAATATAAAAAGGAAAGATGGAAGAAAAAAGAAAGTATCCTTTCCTGTAAGATCCAGACAGAAAGTCATCATAACTAGTGGGACAAAGGAAAATATCTGAAGGATTTCAGTTTTGGCAAATACTTTTCAGAAAAATATCCAAGCTGTGACAACACTAAATGTCTATTTTAATAATTTAGTAGAAGTTTCTATTCAAACATTCAGTGAAGGTGTTGCCGTCTTCTGCGATGTAGAAAAGAAGACTTTTGGGGTGTCTGTTAAAATCAAAGAGCTGCTCATTTTTAACAGGTTAGTAATAACCTTTTAATCAAGTATATGTCATGCAGAGACTCAAATCCTGGTCCAATAGTGTTTGAATATGTTTGATGGAAGATTCCAATGGTGAGGATCCAAATTCTTCCTACATCTTAGAGGCAATGCAGCAGGATGTTATGGCAATGGAGGGGGTCAGCCCCAAAGGTAGCTGGTCCAACCTTAACTGTGGATGTTAAAAAAAAAAAAAAAAAAAAAAAAACCACCAAATATTTCTATAGCATTCTTTTTGCTGCATTTTCTTTGTTTTAAGCCACAGGTCTACCTGGAGGGTCATGCGGCAAGTGGCTTATAAATAAAATCAAAGTCTATGAATAGTGTCATCGCATTAAGAGACAGAATTGCTGGGTTCTTTCATTACGTAAAAAGCTCACATCTTGGGACTCCATGAGTTGGTAAGTTTTATGGAATACCTGAAATGGGGAACAAAAGCCACATATGTCAATAATACATGCATACAATGCAGGAGTTAAAGCAATGAAGATGATTCAATCATTTATTAAACTAGAAAGTCCATATGATTTCTAAATCATGCCTCACAGTTAAAATGCAACAAACAGAGCCAATTCCAAAATTAGCAAATATTGCCACTGTTGCTAATTGTTTACCAAGGCAAACAATTTCCAGCCCTCTCAAATTGCAGGGTATGTCATCAAAGAGAGAACCTAAATATAGTGACCACGTGCATTTTAGAAGCCTAAGAATCTAGACACGTAGCACATCTTTTAGCTTAGAGAGATGCCACATGTCTCAATTTTCATAGAGACAAGGCCTTTTCATGCTGTCATGATACCAAGGGGGAAACAAACAAACAAACAAATCAAAACTTTCAGCTGCAATGTTACTTTTCTTTACTTTTCCAGACCATTGTTATGCAGCCCAAAATACTCAGGATAATGAAAAGTAACAGAACTTTTTCTAAAACAATGTGTACATTTCTTTATAGATTTAAATTACAGTTCTCATGGGAATGTTTAGTCTTCCACCAAACATTCCTGAGAAGCAGAAAGAACAGATTCCATATAGATTTATGTATACAGAGGCCTTTTGTAAGGTAATTCAAAGAAAAACTAACTTTATTTGGACTAGCGGTTGTGTTTTTGGAAACGCAGTATTTACTGTAGCATTCCATAGTTTTTTCTTCTGTTACTGATACCAAATTAAGGTATTGTTAGTACAGAAGCAGACAATTTGAACAAATTTATTCTGAATATGCATGAATATTCAGAATATGGAAAAAGTAATATAATCTAGTTTTAAATTCTCATGCAAGTAACCCAAATTTTCTCATTAAAAGATAACCTAATGTTCTGCAAATAATTTTCTGTAAATAATTTTCGTTCTACATTTATGTGTAGCACTAAAATGATAATGACAAGCTAAATAAATGTTTGTCAGATCTCGACAAACAGATGTTCCCTCTCATGTCACTAAAGTTTAAATTTTACATCTTAAGCTCAGGCCATTATCTTATTAATTGAGAGAGAGAATTTAACTCTCCCTAACCATGAAGATTTTTTTTTTAGTTTCACTTTCATGGGAACATACAGAATAAGAAGCATCATTTCCATTTAAGCCAGTAATTTTAAGAAAAATTGAGCTATCATCAAGAGCAGCTTCCAAAAATGGCTATTATAAATTAATAAGATTATGCAATATATTTCATAACATGCTGAGCCATTTGACTTTTATTTTAAAAAGATTATTCAGTAGAAATTAATGTGGAAAAATAATTCTATTTTCATTTCAACCCCTTTATTTAAGCAATCATTTTTAAAACTTCAGTTCACAAAAAACATTCTTTTAACTAAAACAAAAGTGACTATAAATCTTCCCTGGTTTTAGGGTTTTACAGGAACTCTGCTGACATGCTCTGGCTGAAACTCTTGCCAGAATTGAAAAGTTAAGACTTGCTTAGCAAATTTTCAGGAGTATGAAAAATAATTTGTATACATTTGAAAGACAATTTAATTAATGTCAAAACTATACTTTAACTTTCAGCAGTCTGAAAGTCCTTTCATTTAAATATTAGTATTTTCACTTTTGCTTATTGCTGCAGCTCACAGCAGAATGTAGTCCCTCTTAAATAAATCATCACATTAAAAATGTAAATAGGTTAAGCAGAGTCACAGTTCTTACTTCTAACTGCCCCCAAAGATTAATTGGTCTAACTAATTAGACCTTTAATTGAATTTCCAGCTTCCTAGACACAGAAAGAATGAAAAACACTGAAAAATTTCTGTTAAGTTATACACGAAAACATTAAAGCTAACTAAATAGAGTTGTCTAATTTAAAGAGTAACTAACCTGAGATGTACCTTGCTCCGATTAACATTACCATGCTACTCACTATAAAAAAGCCCAAGGGCAGACTACAGAAGATACTAGGGTCACCTGTGGTCATCCAAGCAGAAGAGAATTCCAGTCAAGCAAACCAAAAGAGAGACACATAATTACAATATTTGTGTTAAGAATCACAAGATAGCAAAACAAAATAAGCTATAAAAATAGTATATTCATAAAAGCTAGCAAAGAGTTATTACTTCAAATCAAAAATATAATCAATATTGAAGGCTTATGACAGTTAACAAACAATACAGATAGCATGCCACACAGCCAAGAACATAATACATATAGACCAACATTAGCCTTCCGCTGGCAAAGCCAGAGAGAGCCTATGGATAACTTTTTGGGAGGCTGTTAATTTTAGTTTTCTTGATTCTTCCCCCAAATATACTAAATGATCTTTTAATTCCACCCAAGTTCAAATTATACATCTTTTGGCTATGAGAGAAGAGTTATATTAGTGTTCTAAGATGAACTTAAAACCCTATTTTTGCTAAAATATTAGTTCAGTTTTAATTTTTATTTATTTATTTTTTTTTGGGACGGAGTCTCGCTCTGTCACCCAGACTGGAGTGCAGTGGCACAATCTCGGCTCACTGCAAGCTCCGCCTCCCGGGTTCACGCCATTCTCCTGCCTCAGCCTCCTGAGTAGCTGGGACTACAGGCACCCGCCACCAGGCCCGGCTAATTTATTTTTGTATTTTTAGTAGAGAAGGAGTTTCGCCGTGTTAGCCAGGATGGTCTCAATCTCCTGACCTCGTGATCCACCGCCTCAGTCTCCCAAAGTGCTGGGATTACAGGCGTGAGCCACCGCGCCCGGACAGTGTTATTTTTTAAATAGAATTTGGTATGTAACAAAATGCACCTGACAATACATTTTAAACACATATGAAAAGTATGTTAAAAATTGTTTACAAAGCATTCAAATGTAGTCACAAACAAGAAAATAAATATGATTGCTTCAAAATTGGCAAACTGCTTTGAAACTTAAGCAAGCCTCATATTCTTCCCATAGGTTAAGATACAGGTAGCAGTTCTAATATCCTTTCAAGTTTGTTAAAATAGGATTCTATCTGTATTGCTGTTATCATATAAATTATATAGTTATATAGCTTAGATTGCTTAAAGGAATACAACTAACATTTTATTAACTGACGATTACTATTCCAAGTTTATTACACAGCTTAGAGACCCCCAAAATATTACATATTAGAGTGTTTTTCATAAATCTATTCAAAAAACATTTTCAGGCCGGGTGCAGTGGCTCATGCCTGTAATCCTAGCACTTTGGGAGGCCGAGGTGGGCGGACCACCTGAGAGGTTGGGAGTCGAGACTAGGCTGACCAACATGGAGAAATCTAGTGTCTACTAAAAATACAAAATTAGCTGGGCATGGTGGCATATGCCTGTAATCCCAGCTACTCAGGAGGCTGAGGCAGGAGAATTGCTTGAACCCGGGAGGCAGAGGTTGTGGTGAGCACAGATAGCGCCATTGCACCACTCCAGCCTGGGCAACAAGTGTGAAACTCCATCTCCAACAGACAAACAAACAAAAAAATTTCAAACTGGCTTAAATCCACTGCAGCCTAACTGAAACAAAAACAAAGTTCTTTAAAATATAAAACTCTCACAAAACCAAACTACTTTTATCATTAATGCTGATAGCAGAAATTGGAGCAATCATATCTTTTTTTGTTTTATCGACTTTTTCTTAGCATTTTAAATTCATTGATAGTAAAGTACACAAACAAGGGAAAAATGATCAGTTGATTTTGTGGGAATTTTGCAGTTAAAATTACATCCTGAACTGCTAGTGAGGAGAACTGTATATCTGTGTGTAAGACATGGGGTTGAAGGGAGGGAGACAGGAGGATTAAAATGCCATTTTAAGGCTGGGCGCGCCTGTAATCCCAGCACTTTGGAAGGCCAAGGCTGGTGGATCACGAGGTCAGGAGTTCAAGACCTGCCTGGTCAAGATAGTGAAACCCCATCTCTACTAAAAATACAAGAAAATTGCCGGGCGCGGTAGCAGGCACCTGTAATCCCAGCTATTCAGGAGCCTGAGGCAGGAGAATGGCTTGAACTTGGAGGGCAGAGGTTGCAGTGAGCTAAGATCGCAACACTGCACTCCAGCCTGGGCGACAGAGTGAGACTCCATCTCAAAACACAAAAAACAAAACAAAATGCCATTTTAAACATGCCATTTAAAGTGCCATTTTAAAACGTCCAGCTAGTTAAAGAAATCATGTAACTCTACTTCTTACAAGCAATAATTAAGGGCAACTAGAAAAGAAGTCAGGGCTTACGTCTGTTATATCTCACACAGCAACTAGCACTGTGCTAGAAAAATACTTATGATTGAGAAGTTTAATTGTAAAGGGTCTCTCAAGATTACAGTCTTAGCAAGAAAAACTTTGCCACCATCTTGGAAAAGGAAGCTGAGTCTCACAACAAAAGATATTAAGCTTATTTAGGAGAAAAACAAAAGCTTCAAATAGGAACATCCGGGACTGAAAATACAGACCACAGTTATCTGTGGCAGTAGATAGTTCTGGAAGCTTTCCTAAAAAACAGATACATTAACTTTGGGGTTGGAAGGAAGGCAGGTCTTATTTCATTTGTCAACTCTTCCCCATTAAAGTATATGCTCAAGTCAGGTGCGGTGGCTCACGCCTGTAATCCCAGAACTTTGGGAAGCCAAGGCGGGTGGATCACTTGAGGTCAGGAGTTCCAGACCAGCCTGGCCAACATGGTGAAACCCCATCTCTACTAAAAATACAAAAAAATTAGCTGGGCATGGTGGTGGGCGCCTATAACCCCAGCTACTTGGGAGGCTGAGGCAAGAAAATCATTTAAACCCACGAGGCGGAGGTTGCAGTGGGCCAAGATCGTGCCACTGTACTCTAGCCTGGGTGACAGAGCAAGACTCTGTCTCAAAAAAAAAAAAAAAAAAAAAAAGTATATGCTTCAATAAATTATTTGCCATTGTTCCATTCATTATGCTCCACATCTTGTATTTAGCAAAAAATAATACTATGCATCTTAAGGCTGTTTAAATGGTTTACTTAAGCTCTTGACCTTCCTAAGTGATCGTAAGGTAGAATAGTCCACTATTTTTTCTGCTAAGAGCATTTCCCAATCTATTTATAAGAGTTCGAATTTACTATGTTTGGTATATTTCTTCCTCTCTGATTCCAAAGGAATTCCCATTATGTACTTGGAATCAGCCTAGGAAGTAGCAGAATATATTCTGAAACTAATACAGTTTTCAGTTGGTTCAAGTCAAGACAGCCCCCCAAAAAGGTAAAGTAAGAGGAGAGGGGAAAAAAAATGAAGACTCTAGTTGATTTTTTTTTCATTAAGAAGAAACTAGAAATAATTTTACTCTTGGAAGACTAAGTTGTCAATTGAAGTACCGAGAATAAACTAATAAGGAAAGATATGGCAGGATAGAGTTAAGTATGTATATCAACCTGATAATTTACATTTTGTGTTTAGAACTTTAAAGTGTTTTCAAAATGTTAGAATCTCTGGACATACGATAACGCTTTGCTTCAGAGCAGCCTGGCTATGTGTAAATGGCTAGATACTTAAATAACTATTTAACATACTAAGAAAATGTGGCAATAATAAACAAAAACATTTTTACCACTTTCTGGAGATTGAGTTGTAACCCAACCCATTGACTTCATCACAGCTTTCTTCCATGTAGAATAACGAATTTCACTTTCTAGAATTAGAAGGTAGAAAAAACACACATGAAAGGTAGTTTGCTGAGATGTTCTAAGTACCATACTTATGATCACTCAACATTCTTCACAAATTATTGCACACATTAAACTGCAGTGGGGCTTTAGCAGGACTCAGATTTGAAAGCACATGGTTGCTGATGACCGCCAGTGACTGGAAGAGATGCTTGCTTGGAAGTTGGAGTGAAACGGGACACGGGGAGGCTGGGTGTGGTGGTTCATGCCTGTAATCCCAGCATTTTGGGAGGGTGAAGAGGGAGGATCGCTTGAGCTCAGGAGTTTGAGACCAGCCTGAGCACCATGGTAAAACCCTGCCTGTAGTACCAGCTACCCGGGAGGCTAAAGCAGGAGAATCATTTGAGCCTGGGAGGCGGAGGTTGCAGTGAGCCAAGATCACACCACTGCACTCTAGCCTGGGTGACAGAGCAAGAATCGGTCTCAAAAACAAGCAAACAAACAAACAAACAAACAAAAACAGGATAGGGGAAATTCAGCAGGGTAAAGGAAGACTGGTAGACAGACTACCTGCTATGCAGACTGGGCCACTCACAAACAAGTGGTAATGAATTAGAAAAGGGAATCCCATTTGATCTGCTTTCTCTTCTTTTTGGGGGAAAGAGTATGAGGAAAAGGGTATGCTGTGATGTGGGAAGACTAGAAGGAGGCGTTTTTATTTCAGTCAGAGGATTTAACAAATACTGGTTTCTCATAAGATTTGAATTGCATTCCTCTGAGTCAGCCCCATGCCCCCTAACCCCAGCATCTTAAAGCAAGATTTTTTAAAGGTGGAAATCCACAACAGAAAGTCTAAACAAAAATGAGCTTGATGCTGTACTTCTAAGGGTGGTGAACCCCATGTGGGGCTACCTTTCTCTCAAGCCTCCCAGACTTTCCATAGCACCTGAGGCCTGCAGCACCCAGGAGACAAGGCTCAAGAATCACTCACTTCAGAAAGCTTTCTGGTGCCCCATTTCTATCCCCGCCCCCTCTTCACACATACCCTAGGATGTCAGCTACCACAGTGAATTTTTATGGTTTTGTCTACTGCTCCCAATATACTTTAATCTTCTGAAGGGCAAAAAAAGGTAAGAAGATAAGGCTTTATTCATCTCTATATCCCCACATCAGTACAGTCTCTGGCCTGTGGTTGGCTATAAACAACTGTTTGCTGGCAAAATGTACTATTTATATCTAGGCGCCCATTCGTTTATGGGGAGGAGTGAGGGCTGGTGAGAGGGAGGACAATAGGGCATGACTGATCAACCCCAGGCTAAGGCCTTCAACACCAGCAAAGATGGCTCTTCTACGAATGGAGATGGCTGTCTTGACATAGAGTTTCCTTGCTTTAAGAGTGAGATTGGCATTAAGAGGCCATATACCTGCTCTGGACATTATTTGCTTATTATAAAGTTGATTTTTTTTTTTGAAAAGTAAAAACATTTTTTGAACTTCATATTTCATCCAGTATTGCAAAAGTTAAAAATGACAGAATATCAGATGTTGAAATACATTTCTAAATCAAGGTACATGGTATACTCTGACTATAAAATTACTAGTATTATAATTCATTTTCTTATATGTTGAATGAATAAAATTGAGAAACACTGGCATAGTCTCCCAGAAAACCAAACAAAAATGCATTTGAAAGCTTATTCCCAATATCTTAAAATCCACTTTGATGCTTTCTTTTTTTTAAGAGACAGGGGTCTCATTATGTTACCAAGGCTGGACTCGAACTCTTAGGCCCAAGAGATCCTCCTGGGTAGCTGGGACTATAGGCACATATCACCATTCCCAGCTGATGCTATTTTATGCATAGGTTTTTAAAAAGTTATAAAACCAATTCTAATATATAAAACCTTATTTTTTCTACATTTATTTAAATTTAAGAACGGCATCACTACATTTTAGTGAAAGTGCTGATCATAGCTTGTGGCTTAGCTTAGTTAGCACAGTGTATCAGATATCTAATGTTCACTTACTTAAATTGTTGCTGCCTTCATCAGGTTAGTCCTGCTGTGCTTAAAAGTTACCAGAGTGTCTCTTAACTCAGCTAATTATGTCCTAAAGCTGGACCACTGGCACCAAAGATGATCTGGTATAGACATTAGAGATGAGTGGCTGATATATCTTCCTTCTCACTTTAAAAAAGGCTGTTCTAACTAGCTATACCCGACAGTGTGTCAGTATTATTATCCTACACTAAAGGACCATAAACATTAAAAGCAAATGGTTTTTAAAAAGTGATTTTAGAAGTTCTTTTGATAAGCAACGATTTCTGTCATTCACATTTATTCAGTAAAGCCCAACATGCTTAGTACCCGAATCTGCAATGATAACATTTACTATTTTACTTGGTTCCTTAACTTTTTTTTTTTTTTTTTTTTTTTTTTGAGACGGAGTCTCACTCTGTCGTCCAGGCTGGAGTGCAGTGGCGCGATCTCGGCTCACTGCAAGCTCCACCTCCCGGGTTCACGCCATTCTCCTGCCTCAGCCTCCCAAGTAGCTGGGACTACAGGCGCCCGCCACCACGCCCCGCTAATTTTTTTAAAATATATTTTTAGTAGAGACGGGGTTTCACCATGTTAGCCAGGATGGTCTGGATCTCCTGACCTCGTGATCCGCCCACCTTGGCCTCCCAAAGTGCTGGGATTACAGGCGTGAGCCACCGCGCCCGGCAGGTTCCTTAACTTTCAACTAAACAGAAAAACAAAACTCCCATGCACTAAGGTCGTTTTCACAGTATTATCACTAAACATTTCATTATTTAAATGTACCCTCAGCATTAATCTGAGGTTCAAACCGCTCCATTGTGACGGCAGACAAATCCTCGGGTTCGAGACTCCATACGCCGACTCCTTCTGCAGCCCCTGCCGCCATAGCAGCACCTAGTGCAGTGGTTTCAGGCATCGAGGGCTTCACTGAGGGGAGAGAGTTCCATCAACATCTTTGTGGTTACATATGCCCAAAGAACTAGTTTTTCCCAAGAAACATTACTCCAGGAGTTTAAAGGAATGAAGACTTACTAACCTACTGGAATATACAGAATGTCTGCTTGTAGCTGCATAAGAATTTTGTTGCTGGTCATTCCTCCATCTACCTGCAAATGACTGAGTGGAATTCCACAGTCTCGATTCATGGCATCCAAAATCTTAAATAAACCAGTGCAATTAATGTTATAAATCTATTTCATAGTAACATCTCTGAAAATGGCAAGCCTCCACTCAACTCTCAAGAGCTTCCAAGAGCCTATGGAATAAATTGAGACTTCTTATTCTAGTCTTCTAAGCCCTCTTTGATCTGCTCACAGCCAACCTTTTCTCTCACTACACCTCTGCATTCACCTTGATATTCAGCTAAGCTATACAACTCTGTTTGGTACCCTGTTTTTCTGCCTTGATGCCTATGTTTGTGCTATTTCCTTTGCCTAATGTGTGCCACTCAGCCTCCCCAAAACCATAAAATTCTCAGTGCCTGACAGGGAACAGGAACTTAGAAGGTAATGACAACTGGAAAAAGGGAAAAAACCCTGCTTATATTTAGATTAGTATTTAGGTAGCCTTAATATTTGATTAACTACATTTTCAGTACTGAATAAAGCTCAGGTGTTACCATATAACTTAAGAGTGATAAAAGTGAACTAAGTACAAGAAAACAGGCCCGTATTTGTTACCTCTCGAGTTTGGAAACAAACAGCTTCTAATGCAGCAAAAGCAATATGGCATTTATTGGTGAACTGAGTGAGTCCACAGATTATCCTAAAAATACGCACAAAGATTTTCAGATTAGAATGGTATAAACCAATCAATTTGAAATATCTCAAATATGAAAAGGTCAAATTTGGTAGATAGAAGTGTCCAGGAAGAGAAAACTGGACATAATCATTAGGTAACTCAGAAAGTCCTTATATTTCACAATTCTGCATTCATACATGAAAAAGTTTATGATGCATTTGAAGAGATGATGGCATCGTAAAACTGAACCAATATTCATTATGATGATGTCCCTTCACTATACAACTTGCAGACATCTTGAAGATAAAAGATAACATGAATATGGATATGGCAGGGGTTATTGTCAGCTGATTCATAACTTCTTGGAGCTTAAAGTTTCTGAAATTATATTCTCCAAAAAGAAAAGGTTTTCTCAACACATTATAATTATTTGAAAATAGATAAGAAACTAATTAGTTATTAATAACTTTACTAAATAAATCAAGATCCCCAAAAGCACACCATATTTTCAATACTTACCCTCTTGCGCTGGGCTCCCAATAAGGTGCATATAACCCCGAAAATGCTGGGACGAAGTAGCAGCCATAAGAAGTACCTACTTCTTTAGCAAGCTTTTCTATCATTAAAAACAAAGCAAAACAAAACAAAACAAAAATCATACAAATATTGTGTATTATTAAATAAGCACACGTATTTTAAAAATTAGAAAAATTAGGACAGGGGTTTTGGTTTCCAATTCATTGGTAGAGCAAAATGTTGCTAACTACAGTAGTATGCTAGGATCAACAAAAACGAGTTTCTCCCACATTAAATACCCCCCACTAAAATGTAGCTTAGCTCAAGAAATCAAGGAACCAGATGCATTTCTTTAAGGTATTTTAGCTCATTTCCACTATTTTTAAGGTTGCTGACTAGGAGATGAAAAAGTGGCCTCTAGTGTGTCCCTAATCAGAAATGTATTTCTGATTGTCTCACCTTCAGGCAAAGTTAAACAAGCGGATGAAAGAGTGACTAGGGAAGCTCAAACTAATTATCTATAGACTGAAAACAGCCATATTAATACTTAAATTATAGGTACCAGAGTTTTAATGCTCACTCTAATCTAAGAGTTAAAGCTCTTTCTCATCAGATAAATTTAACTCAACTTCTCTATCTGCAGCTTCTGGCAATCTCCAGTGTTCAATTTTACACTTGGATAATTCTTATGCCCTACATTGCCAGTTTATTAATAACCACCACTAATTATGACAATTCCTTGTTTTATAAGTCTTCACAAAATAGTCTTTTGTATAAGTCAAACTCATACTAGGGATCTATATAATTTATGGATCACATTTGGGGCAAAGCATAAGTATTCACAGATTGCAGAGATAAAATACTGAAATGTGTCATTTTTCAGATTTTCTGACCTTTTGTTAGAACACACTCACCAATTTCTTCTGAGGTCTTTATAATTCCAAGATTGTCTCTTAGCCAGCGAATAACAGCACCAGCTATAGCTACAGAACCCTAAAGAAAAAAAGGAATCCAAGACAGAACATATTTTATCACAATCAAAGGTTTTTACTGAGCATATTCTGTGTATGACACAACCAGATGGACAGAATTCAGTTTCCATTTTGGGACTCTGACAAATACGATAAACTAGGTCTTCTAATACAAACATAGTTTTGTCTAAGTCACTAATAAAAGTTTTTCATGGGATGGGGAAAAGAAGTGAGCCTTCCAGCACACCCTTGGATTTGTCCCTATAGGTGGACATCGATCTGTTGGTCAGTTTGCTTCTTGAACAATTTTCTGTCTGTTGCTAAGCTACTGAGGTATGTTATCACTTAGAAATATATTGCCATATTATTCATAAAATTACTGGGAGAGGCCACATTAAAAGTTTTTTCAAGTCTGTTTCCCATATCTAACAGTATAGTAAATAAAAAAAATAAAATAAAATAAAAAAGCAAAGAAGCTAGCTAGTGAGTAATTTTTCTTTAAAACAAAATCACCTAGAGCTGTGGCAATAACGATAAAAACATATTTTAGAATTGGATAAACTGGCTTTGAGTCCCAGTTCTAGTACCTAATTGCTGTGTAATCTTAGTAACTAATCTAAGCACTTTAGTAAGTTAATCTTAGTAAATTAAGTAACTTGCCTACGTTACTTAGGCTTTCTGAGCCTCCATTTCTTCACCTATAAAATGATAACTATGACAATACTTACCTAAACAAACTACTGTGAGGCTCAATATGAGAATATATGTGAAGGTTTTACTAAATGTAAATATTGACTTCATTAATTTTTTTAATGTTAAAGTATCAGCCAAACACCAGTGACTGATGAATAGATAAAACACAGTATGTCTATACAATGGAGTATTATCGGACTATGAAAGGAATGATGTCTTAATACATGCTACAACATGGATGAGCATTGAAAACATTATGCAAAGTGAAAGAAGCCAGGCACAGAAGACCATATATTGTATGATTCCATTCATATAAAATGTCCAGAACAGACAAATCCATAGAAAAAGAAAGTAGTGGTTGCCTGGGCTAGGGGATAGGGGGTGGTTATGGGGTTTCTTTCTGGGGTGGTGACAATGTTCTAAAGTTAGATAGTGGTGACGGTTGTAAAACTCTGTAAATATAATATTACTATAAACCATTGAACTGTATACTTTAAAAGGGTAAATTGTGTGGAATATGAATTATATCTCAATAAAGCTATTATAAAAAAATCCTGATGGCAAAAAAAAAAAGTATCAGCACAAACCACTAGGAATTCCAAGAAAATTTTTTTAGTTCTGATAGTTCATTCATATAGATTATTAATGTAAATTACTTCCACAGAGTCACTCCAAACCAAATGTCAGGTGATATTAAATGTAGGGACCTGTCCCAGTTCTATTAACTGAATTACAAATGGTAATGCCTTCTTATTGTCAGTTGTCAAGATGCAAGTAAACTAGAGAATGAATATGCTGGTATATTCCATCATTCATAGCTTCTATGAGAAGTTACTATGTTACTGCAAACCTACAGAATGCCTGTATTCTGTTTATACATTTATACATTTTTATATATGTAGACATACATACAGTACTCTGTATTACTACATACATAAAATGACTTTTTAACCACAAAAAGTATTTGAGGAACAGATCTGACATAGCTGTGCAAATATGACAAGGCTTTAAAAATGGGACAAAAACAATTCAACAAATACCTTACAAGGGACTCTAACACAGCTCATTCCCTGCCTAAAAGAACTTGTTGTACTTACTAAGTTTGACACATTTACATATTTAGGTACTTAGAGGGATCATTCAAGAGAACTAAGTAAAATTTTGGTTTAAAGAGATTTAAGAACTTTACTCTCAAATTTCCTTTGGAAACAGACAATTCAGAGATAGCAGCTGCCAAATATTAGTAAATATGTAAGAGTTTCTAGACCAGTGCTGTCCAATAGAAATATAAAATGAGTCACATATGTCATTTACATTTTTGCCACATTAAAAAGGTAAAAGTAAGGTAAAATTAATATTTTATTTAACCCAGTGTATTAAAAAAATAATTTCAACATGAAATCAATATGAAATTATTGAGATTTTTTTTTTGTACTATCTTTGAAGTCTGGTATATACTTTACACTTAACAGCACATCTCAGTTCAGACTAGCCACATTTCCAGTGCTCAATAGCTGTATGTGGCCATGGCTGCCATGGGCAGTATAATTCTAGACCTAATTGAAAAACAAAAGCAAAAACAGGTGTCCCTCCTCCTTATACTCTCAAAGACACTGCCCTTAAATGGCATCTAACAAGAAATGCATACATAATTGTTTTAGGCAAGTAGAGTTAAACTATGAATTTTTAGAAGCCACTGTGCTAGGAGTTTAGTAAAGTGATTTTGTGGCACAGCTGGTGGGACTTTATACTCTAGGAAACCACATGCTGATATACCTCATTTCCATTGAAAAAGATAGGATGTGACATGTTTACACCATATTTTTAAGAGGAAGCAATATGATTTTAGCAAAAGGAAAATCAAGGTTTTGATTAGAGGTAACTAGTTGAGAATCAGAGTATCATTTAGATTAAAACAAAAGAAAAAAAATACATAGTTACTGTTAAGGCTCCAGGAGATAATTGTTTTAAATTCTGTCATCAGGAATATACAGAAGTGACTAGTTTCAATATAACACAATAAAAGGTAGATAAAAACACTTATCTGAAAAAAGTAAATAATTTTGCTGTCAGGATATAATACACGGTATGATTTAGCTTTTAAAGAAATAAAAATGGCTGGGCGCGGTGGCTCAAGCCTGTAATCCCAGCACTTTGGGAGGCCCCCGTAATCCCAGCACTTTGGGAGGCCGGGAGATGGGTGGATCACGAGGTCAGGAGATCGGGAGACCATCCTGGCTGGACACGGGTGAAACCCCGTCTCTACTAAAAAAATACAAAAACTAGTCAAGCAGGTGGCGGGCGCCTGTAGTCCCAGCTACTCGGGAGGCTGAGGCAGGAGAATGGCGTGAACCCGGTTGGCGGAGCTTGCAGTGAGCTGAGATCCGGCCACTGCACTCCAGCCTGGGCCTCAGAGCGAGACTCCGTCTCAAAAAAAAAAAAAAGAAATAAAAATGAGAGACACCTCTAAATTCACAAAAGACATGTGGTCTTCTGAATTCAGAGGCAGGAAATAAAATGGAAGATGGTTGGCCGGGAGCGGTGGCTCAAGCCTGTAATCCCAGCACTTTGGGAGGCCGAGACGGGCAGATCACGAGGTCAGGAGATCGAGACCATCCTGGCTAACACGTTGAAACTCCGTCTCTACTAAAAAATACAAAAAACTAGCCGGGCAAGGTGGCGGGCGCCTGTAGTCCCAGCTACTCGGGAGGCTGAGGCAGGAGAATGGCCTAAACCCGGGAGGCGGAGCTTGCAGTGAGCTGAGATCCAGCCACTGCACTCCAGCCACGGCGACAGAGCTAGACTCCATCTCAAAAAAAAAAAAAAAAAAAAATGGAAGATGGTATAATGCTTCAAAGTTGGACAGGAAAAGAGTATAGCAGCCAAAACCTAAAGTGATAAATAGAAGGTGACTGTCTTATTTGTTATCAATTAAGTTGCCATAAGTTACATCCTAAGTATAAAGATCCAACACTTTAGTATATCATCTACAAATTTGAATCAGCCCTTGTTCTAGGTTATGACTCCCTGGAAAAGATGCATGCAAGCCTAACAGTTGTACACTAAGGGAGATGCAATGAAAGTGAGAGGGTGTAAAGAATAATGAATTAAATTATAACAGGGCAAGAGGAATAAATTATTTTAAAACTAGACACGTAGCCTGGAAAGTGAAAGGTTAAGAAATAAGCTATACGAAGATTGAATTAAAAATAATCAAGTAGATCTGATGTAATGTCATAGCAGGCAAACACATTTTTCTTCAAAAGCCCCTTGACATGAATGCCACTGCCACTAACAGTATAAAAATAAAGCAGGATATTTCAGGATGCAGTAGAATTGTAGCTTACAAGGCAATTAGGGTGAAAATTGGTGAGTATGAAGAAAAATCACGTAAAGTAAAGATTACCCTAAATTGCTTACAATCATCCATCAGGCATAGCAAACACAGTTTTGTGTATACTACAGTGCCATGTATCTGTACATATATAATTTATAATGTAGTTAATTTGTATATATTATATTACAAATACAGTGTCTAACTCTATAGCATTTTTAATTGCATAGAGAAAAGGAAGAGTTGAATTGGAGCAACATTATTTTTGAAAAGTGACAGATTTCATTAATACTTCAGTAACAAGTTGGGGAACTACAATTAAAAGCATTTATTGCTCAGAAAGTATACTTTTCAAGAAAGAACATTGTAAAAGTTCATAAACAATGTTTATATGCTTGTGGCAGATAGACTTTTAATTAAGGTGGCTCCCATGATCCCTGCCTCTTGATGTTCATACCCTTGCATAATCACCGCCTCTTGAGTGTGGTGATATCTGTGACTTTCTTCTACCCAACGGTACATGTCAAAAGTGATGGGATATGTGTGGTGATGTGTATGTGCTTCCATTACATGATTTACTGTGCCTGTCTTGCTGGATATATTCCCTCCCATCCTGACTTTAAGGAAGCAGACAACCACAAGGAACTGAATTTTGCCAATAACCTGAATGAACCTGGAAGCAGATTAAACCTCAGATGACAGAAGAGCCTCAGTCAACACCTTGACTGCAGCCCTGTGAGACTCCAAGCAGGGTACCGAGCTAAGCTGTGCCTGGATTCTGAACCCATGGGAACTGAGAAACAACACATGTGTTGTTTTAAGCCACTTAAGTTTGTGGTAATCTTGTTACACAGCAATAGATAATCTACTACATAGGTTTATACCTAAAATCGGGATTTAGCTCAAGAAGGATGAAAAACTCTAAAAAGGAAATCTTAATGCTATAATCATTAAACCATACCAAAGAAAAAATAGGGGAAGAGACATTTAAAGAA